TACTACTAGCGTGGCACTTGTTACTAGTAGTAACAAGAAGCTATTAACTCTATTTTAATGTTAATTCTAATAGCTTTTTGTTACTACTAGTAAGGCACTTGTTACTACTAGCGTGGCACTTGTTACTAGTAGTAACAAGAAGCTATTAAATTTACTTTAATGTTAATTCTAATAGCTTTTTGCTACTACTAGTAAGGCACTTGTTACTACTAGCGTGGCACTTGTTACTAGTAGTAACAAGAAGCTATTAAATTTACTAAGGGACCGAAACTGGGACCGAACCAACCTCGGGCTTCACGATGCGCATCCGACGGGAATTTGGATGTGTTTGGGTCGTGGGTGTCCTGCCGAAACAGCCGACGCACCCGTGGTCGCCTGTATCAAACTCTTCCAAACCAGGCATGATTTGGAGATTATATAGACATTCACTCCTCTGCCCATCTCCCTTTCGCACGCCAAACCGACCAACAACTGCGTCAAAACCATCTGAGTGCTCCTGCCGCTTGTTTCTTGAAGTCTTTGTGCGATGCCAAGAACTGGGCCACCTTGCGAACGCATGTTTTGGTCATCGGACATCCAGGCAGTGTTCAACACTCCACAGGAAGCAACGATGAGGAGAATGTGGGGTACATGGTTGGGGAATTCTGGGCCACAAGTAGACCCTTACTAGAAAATAACCTTTTCACCGGGTTACAGTTTGTCTCATCATCTAGATTGTGGGTGATGTTAAAACTTCATGGAGCAAGTCATGAACATTATAGAACCAATAACATTTAATGGCGCCAGCATCAAATATGGCATAGCGGCATACCGTTGGGTTGCTTCATCAATGGAAGCCGCTTTGGCACCGGAGAATCAACACCCCTCACTCTCTTCCACCCTCACGGTCCGGTCCGGTCCATTCGAGCGAGCGATCAATGCGGCGAGCAGAGTGCGCGCGCCTCAAGGTTGGACATGCCTGTGATCAATGCGCCCGTATCGATGAGGGCTTCCACGTCCTCCCGGGTTCACTCGGACGGAGCAGAGACGAAGAGTGAGTGAAAACACGTCGTCTTCGGTCCGTCGTCGCGAGGTCTGAGCAAGTCAAACCCGGGCTAGTGCTGTACGTTGTGTCTGGTTTTTTAGATTTTGGGGTGCCCTGTCATCCATTGCACTAAGCGTAATTAGTTATTATAGTCTAATTGTATTCCATTGGAACCCCCAGAACACAGAGTCAGTGCTGGCTCATCGAAGGACCGGACCTCACAAACAATGAGAAGATCCTTGACATGGCGACGACTGAGCGGATGACTGGGCCATGCGCAGGCTGCTGCGCAGCATGTGCAGAATGGAGCTTAGAGGCGTCACCACATCAGAAGCCATGACCCCGAAGACCTAACGACGCGATGGGACTCACAAAAAAAGGAGTTGTTTTTTTTCTTCCCAGACATGATCTTCCACTCCCAAACAGGTCGACCGTCCGATGGATCTGAAGCAAGTTCGTTGGAAGCTTCGCAGCCGATTGGTGTGACATTCAAAAAGGGGAGTGGGGAGCTTGATGATCTACACATCACCCTAAGAGCTAAGAGGGCCAAAAGGGCGATCAAAAGGCCCCAGCCGGGACCGTCGTATCGTGACCTAGCCGAAGGCGGGTCAGAACAGCGCCAGCGAGCGAGCGAAGCCGTCATACCCTTCGTAACATGGCTCGGTGGGACCATCCTGGCATCCCACCCACCTGGCACGACTGAGGTGGCACCCACTCGGTGGGGTGTCAGGAGATGCGTCAGTGCTCAGCCCATTCCCGACCAAACTGGCGTGGGCGATAAGACGAAGGCGATAACGGACAGACTTCACGGAGATAGATCGATCTATTTCGCTCGACTCGACTCGACTCGACTAATTTAGATGAAGAGCTGTTTCATGTCTGGCATGTCTGGGGATTCTGTTCATCAAGAGTCCACCAAACATTGGCGCCTTTCAAGAGTTCATTCCTGTGGGCCCTCCCCTTTGTCTGGCACTCCTCTGCCACGACCGCTTCCAGCAAGCTGTTCACCGTCCAAGCACCATCCATCTGGACGGACGAAATCGATCGCGGGCAATAGCGAAGCGCTGGGCGCACTGACTGAATCCCGAGCCGTTTTGGTTACTGCAAAGTAAACACTGTTTTTTTTTGGTGGGGGCATAGCGTATCACTAACAAGTCTTAGTTTTATTGTAGGTGTCCGGAGATTCGCCAGAGTCATGTAAAAATGAAATCACCTCCGAGCTCACCCAACCCTCACCCAAACCTCCTCCAACCCACCCGACCTCCGTGCTCCGTGCTCCGTGCTCCGACCGCCCCATGTTGCTCCGACCTGCTTCAGCGCCATGACCGCTGGATCGGTCAAGGTCGTGAACATCGCAGCATCATCGCCGGGCCTGGGATCCGAAAGGGTCCGAACCACCGGAAGGGATGGTGAAAGTGCGAACGGTGCGACCTGATGAAGGGGTCCGACCCACGCGGCGGAGATGGAGCTGTCGCCACGGGTCCCAAAACCAGAGCCCCATGGGCGGGCGAAGGCGAGACGAGGAGACGACGAGACGAGGGCTCTTTGAAGAGACGAGAAAAACAAAGGGATCCGTCCTTGAGGACGGGATGTATCTCCTTCCTTCACTTCTTGCCTAAATATCGGATGTCTTCGTCCTGGAGTCATCGCAAAAAAAAAGGAATGCGGAATGCTTAAGGGCCGTTTTTGTTGACATGTTTCATCGAGGTAGTGCATGGACTATTTAAATTAGAGCTCTAAAGAAAAAACACACAGTGTGAAATGTCGGTTCTCTGCTCATCTGTTTCTTGCAGGCAGTCCACCGTTCGACTGGGTCCGATCTTCAAAGTAGGTGACCATGAACTAGCTGTGGAAGGGTTTTGGAGGGTTGAGAATTGATTACATCCACCACCGCTGGTCCTGTTTGTCGAGAATCTGTTCCACCTCATCTGTCACCTCCCCGTGTACCGCTGGGTCCCACTGCGCGAAGTGGCAGCGTCCCAAGCCCTTGGGTAAGAGCTCGGTTGGAGTCCCGCTGAAGCCCACACGACCTGAACCGGCTGTTTTCACGCGGAATGTGCGGTTGGTTGGGGCGGATAAAGGGGGGGATGGATGATTGGATGAGTGGCATGGTTCTAGTTCTCAGCTTAAGTGAGCTGAACTAGCGACCTTGATGTAGACAACAGGTGCTCATGTACAATGGTGTACGATTGTACGTATGTAGTCTTGATTTGGGGACTGCAATGCGCCTCTGAATTTGTGCCCTCCAAACATGCGCCTAAACCAAACAAACTGCACACCCGCAACAAACATGTATTTTTAAAACCCGGGTCTGAAGAGCGGCATTTTTGCTTTCAAGGTGTGGTTGAACCATGTTCTATAATGGGAAAAGACCTCCATGCTCAATGTCAAATGGATCCAGGACTTGCTGTCCTGCAAAAAAAAGGATCCACATTGGTTACCTATCACCCATGGGGCGAGTAAAATGCAGCGGGAATCTGACACATACAGGGGTCCATGTTGTCTTGGAAAAGACATCATTCCAGTGCTACATTGTAGAAAACCAATCTCTCCCCAACAAGAACACAGTTCGAAGGTTCAGACCTACCATCAGCTTGGCCGCAAGAGAGATGGGGAGCTCGAGAAGCGTGGCTCGAACTGAAGTTCGAGCCCTTCGGCCCTTCTACACCGAAGCTACCCCAGTCACCAAGAAAGCAATCGCACGTCCTTTCAAACAAGAACGACAGGTCTTTGGAGAGACCATTCTGGCACCCTGCCACAGTTTGTAGGCCCGGGCGTGCGAAGAGCATCTCAGCTCCCAGTTCTTGACCACTCGCAGATAGCTTCTTGGATTGAAACCTCAGTATTCAGCAGCTCTTCGGAGCTGCAGAAGAAGCAAAATCACTTTGAACGTCTGTGAGAGTGCACTACTATGCAGCTCTAGCCTCAGTTGCCGAGACATATCGGAAGTGTCTGCTTACGAAGGGGAGTCTTTTCATCTGCGACTTGTAGTCCGTAGGTTGACCTATTGAACCTATATGCAAAATTTTTGATTCCCCAGTTTTGCCCTCCCTTCTTTTCCAAAAAGCTCAGCTCCTGACCTCATGTATTTGGGGAAGACCAGCTGCTCCAAATACCATTGGATCACTGCAGTGGAGGACTTTAAGAGCTGAAAGATGTCCTGGAAAAGCCCGGTGCAGCGCGCGCAGGCAGGCAGCGCGGCTCAGTCACGTTCGGCGGGCGGGGGGCGAGTCGAGTGGTTTTTGAACGCTTTCGGCGCGACGTGGCCCTCCTTCACCGGATCTGGAGTAACCAAAGCTCGCCCCTTGTCCATTTAGCCGCCGAAGCGGTCCGAAGTCAGCAAGAACTCACATGCTTCTGGTGAATATGCGGTGTTGATTTTTATGAGAGCTTAGCTCATGGTGTTGGGAGCTTCAGGTTTTCCTTCCCCAAAGGCGTCGAGCTCACTTGAAGGTCGGGTGAGCCAAGGTGTTGGACGAGCCGCATAGGCATGGATGGCTCGCCCTCGCGTTCCGGAAGAAGCTGCAGCATCATTCCAAACAATCCAGGGAACCGGGGATTTGCCACCTACCACCTGAAAACCCAGGTCAAATCATCAAGACTAGGGCTCCAAACACCACCCTTAGAGAGTTTGAACCACCGAACCGAGTTTCGGAGGTCGGGCAGGAGCCCTGCAGTATGTCGTTGACCTCTGGTAGAATGATTTCGGCCAACACGCGCCTGTCACGCGCCTGAAAACATCTTGCTTTCGGTGTACATATCTTCAATTCCATACCCGACAGTGGGTACCCAAACGCTACAACTTTTTTGGGCCGATGGAATAACCTAAGGTTTCTGAAAGAAACCCAAGGTTTTCCAAACCAGTACTGAAATACCGGTTTAGTACTGGCTAAATGTGGTTTTAGTATGGATTAAATACGGGTTTGGAACGGGTTTGAAACACAACACCTGGGGCTTTCAGAACACACCCGAGGTATTTTTGATTTCACAAGAATACTGAGGTTTCGATTGAGACCCTACAAATTTTGTAGGGTTTGGGGTAACCAGCACCATGTGCATGAAATGCTTGCTTTTTGTAGATTTAAGACACGACATCACAAACCGATCGGACTGACAAGGGATGCGACCGCTGAACAGGGTCAATCACTGCAGGAAGAATGATGGACAAGGGTTACAGTACCTCATTCCCAATACCCCCACTTCAAGTACCCCTAGAAATTGGGACATGACCCCCCAAAAGGACCAGGCATACATCCACCAATTCATTTGCAGGGCAGTTCAGCTGTGCCGTGGTCTTCCAGTTATTTGCCAATCGCCAGGTCGAAGGTTTCCAATGGTTCAGGCGGGTTGGATCATGCAAACATGGACACAGGAAAGGCAGCAGCGAACGCAGAACCACCCTCTTTACTTCAACTTTGGGGCTCCCTCAGCATGTAAAACAAACAGATTTATCATGAATCATCCACTTTGGCCTTCAAACAACGAACATGATCAGAACGCAGTTCTGGTAGTTCTCACAGTTCGGGCCCGGGCACTCAACCTCCTTCCGAAAACACGAACGTCCTTCATTTGCTGATCATTGGACCGCTGAACCAAAGCCAAAGGCGGCACACCTTCGCCCAACACCGGCCAACACCGGCAGCACTCAGTATGCGCTTGTGACAGTATAGTTCTTGCACTGGATCGGCTCATGCTATATGCACTGGATCGGCGCTTGCGGGACATTAGGTGCATGAACAATTCACTTAGAGAGTCCGCAGAGGCCACAGCACTGCTCCGAGCTTTCATCTACTGTAGATTCTTCAATCCGAGCTCCTTGTGGTCTAAGTAATCTCTGGGGTCCACCAAATGCCATGAAAGTAGGGCCTCCTTCAGGCTAGAGTACCTCACCATCCCTCCATCTCCCTCACAAGATCTCACATAATGACTAACCCCTCTCTCCAACAATCCTGGACGTGGACAACGATGGCCTCTGGAAAAAACCTTCTCCTCCTCTACATACAAACAAAGGGCGAACTCCACAAAGCCATCTTCGTTGCGTACATCAGGGGTGCCAGTGCGCAAACCAGCTTTTTCCCTGTCGAGTGCGCACATGTTCAGACATGGTCGAAAACGTGCCTCCTTTCTTCGGTTTCTTCTCCTCCTCATCCGGAATGGAGGGATCCTAGAGAGAGCAGAGGTGTGCAGAGGTGGCAGGAATCGTGGTCGGGTCGCCGGTCGATGGTGGATGATGGGTGCCAAATGAAAAAAGACCTGTCACTGTCAACCTTAGTCCGTTCATCTGGAAGAATAGACCAAAAAGTGCTGATCTAAACCACTACGTCGAGTACGGGAGTCAAATGACCAGCAAAATGCCCTGCTCTGTGTTCTTTTTTTTCATGTGGCTGTGGCTGCTGAAATTGCTGAGTTCTTGTGTTGTTCGTTAGGAAAATCAATGGGTTGCTTAATGAAGTTCACATGGTTCCACAATTATGCAGCACCACCCTTGATCAGGCGACAGAGCTCGGATCGGGTTCCCGCGAGGTGATGCGCAGCAAACATAATCTAAATACTTTAATGACGATATCAAATGCAATAAGGCAAGTATACCTGGACCCGACTTCAGCAGTATCCTCGAACAACCATGTATATGAACATGTGACGACTGAACTTCAAGTATCCAGGGTAGATCTGTCCAGGAACAGTTTGGATCTGGAGCCGTTTTAGGGACCAAAGACCTGGAAGGCCCTGGAAACAGAACAGAAGCCAAGTGCCATACAAAACACAAGACCATTTGGAAAATGAACAACACCAGTGCACTAAACCAGTGCACTAAACCAAACCAAACAGTTTTGCGATACCCATTTGGTACATCTAAAAGCCTGGTGCGTCTGACGTGGCTGGGGTCCACTAAGACTCTCGATCTCGTCCATCGACCAGACTGCAGGAACATCGCACGGATGGGCCGAAGCCTTGGCAGCCCACTGGGTTCGGTTCAGAGGCAAAGTTGACTCCAGCCCAGGACGCTTGGGAGACCACTCGATTAAAAAGACAAACCAGATGTTACACGCGAATCCCCAAAGTACAACACTTTATACATACCATTGACCTGTAATTCCGAATGACATCGATCCATGTAATGCACATGAACCTCCCATGGCACGGCTCGCTGATCAGCTCCGAGCTGAACCTTCTGAACCCTCCCAGCAATCACTGAACTGTCATGGCACGGCGCAGCTTCGGCGCAGCTTGGGCATCCGCACGCAAAGGAAGCCACCCGCATCTGTGACCCAGTGCCGGTACAGCACCGCCGAGGGCCGATCCTGCGAGGCGAGGGCTTTCGGGACGGCCTCCGAGGGAGATGAGGTGGTCAGACAACGAAGCAACGAAGGATGTGACTAGAAACACCAGGTCTCATCCTTCGTTGCTTGTTGGTTCTAATCCTATAGTCTAAGGGTGGTCTTTGGAAGTCGGGTTTGTAAAAATCGCTTCTTGGGTACAATGAATTCATGGATTCATGGAATCAATGCTGGTCGAGTGACTCGAGTGATTGGAATGTGATTGGAAATGATCGCCTCACCAATATATCGCCATACCTTGAGCCTGAAAAACCGCCCACCCGTTTCAGCATCAAGAGTACTCGTGCTTCATCGATGAAGACGTCCGTACGGCGTACGCATCGAGTGGAGAGATTGAAACACTTCCGGAGGTCTGAAGACGAAGTGCTTTCGCCTGGTGACTTCGCCCACGTCCGCCGAGGTGAGCGTCCGGCCACCACGAGAGCGTCCGGGAGTCAGAGTCGGAGAAGTCCACGCGGTCGGGGAGTGGTGGGGGGTCGGGGTTGAGCTGATGCACGAGCAAATCATTGGATTTCCATGGATTTCCGGATAGTTGGACCCTCCAAGTACCTGGGAACATGGGTAAAACATGGTAAAAGTAGCTGCTTTTATAGGGGCATGTCCCTTTACTTTGGAGTCCAGGTATAGTTTGGACTTACAGAAGCTCACTGACCCTCGCAATTCTCCTTAAACTGATCTGCAGTCCGGCTTTCCGCATGGTTTTTTCCGATGCTTTCCGGCCACGCTCGCCCGACTCACCGTTCTGCTTCGGTCATCTTCGGTCGCTTCGCGTCCTGTTGTCGACCAGGCTCCTTCCTCACGTCATTCAACAACCGCACCATGACCTGGGGGCTGCGGCGGCTGTCAGGCTGTCAGCGTTTGCTTGGGTGTATCCCGGCCGCTGCGGTCGTGGGGAGCTTTGCTTCGGAGCCTCATCGGAGCCGGAGCCTCCCGGCGAACGGCGACCGGTCGAATGCCCCGGTGACCCACGCTACCCCCACGCTACTCGTCGCGCTGACGTGGCGAACGGCCATGACCCCCGTGACCCCCGAAAAGCGGTCTGCTGAGTGAGGTCTGCAGGTGTGGGACCATCCTGCAGAAGTTGGACCAACTGTCACTGTGTGAAAAACAACACTTCGATTTTTCTGCAATTTCAACTGTGAAAAATCACAGTTCAACACGACGTGGCGTTCGACTTCGTCGAACACGTGCTTGCCGTTCCTACTGTACTTCGACCGAGGGGTGCATATTCTCCTCTGAGAATAGTCTTAAGGGCTAAAGGACATTCGATTCGGATGGTCCTGGAACCTCTGGGTGGAATTTTTGGGTGAGTACCTTTCAACTTCATTGGATTCCTTTTCATGAACACTAGTTGTATCGGCTGTGTTGAAAAAGACTAAGCAACAAGAACAACATAGACCAACGCATAAACCGTTGCCACCTCTTGGGTATAGTCATGCTTGAAACCAAAGAACGCCAAACCCAGAAAGGGTTTATATACCGCACTGGACATCCTTCCATGTCGAACAAACTGACGCCACTACATATATTATCATATATTAGTGGCAACGCGCACCGCAAATGGCAACCATCTTAGCCCTACTCTACCAACCATGTTTTCATGCACCAGAAAGCATCACATGTCTCACAACCATGTGCATGTGCAGATGAGGATATGAACGTTTCTGTGCAAGTATGCGGATGTACGACATGCACGTTCATATCCGCACCCACCCACCGAGCCACGTGCATCAATGTGCCACAAACAACATGACCATGACATGGAAATGAAAGCGAAACAAACACGTACTAGGACCCTCCTGTCGGGGTGCCCTGTCTGGAAGCCTCTAGGTAGTGTGGGCTAGTCCATTAGACACCCCGACAGGAGGGTCCAGGTATACGGGCTCAAATGTCCCCAATTGACCTCTATATGATCAGGTCATATCAGGTCTATGTCATCGTTCTGTCACCCGGTCGAGCACACCTGGCGCCCCGGGTCCGGGTTTGTTGGTCCAAACCGGGGGCGAACGCTACGCGAGAACGCCTCGTCGACGTCCGTGAGCCGTAGCTGTTCGTAGCGGTAGCCCAGGATCGTCAAGCCGATGACAATGTCCGGATGAGCAAACCTCGACCGGACGATGTCCGGAACTGATGAGGAATGGTCGTGGTGCTTGGATGCTGGTGGACCGGCCCCTCGCCCCCAAAGCGGCGAACTGGCTGGCGATGTAGGGGGATCCGAAGCATGGAACACCCTGGGAACCGGCTTTGGCCTGCAATCGCAGGGCGAACTGGCGGACCAAACCTTCACCTTGTCCTGGATTCTGAGGGGCCGAAGGCATATATAGTTCTTTCTATACACCTTTTTCGGATGTGCTTTGAGGTATACTGCTTGTTTGGGGAGTTCTCTTCTTTATGCGCTGTTCTCGATGGAGTGACAGCACTGAAACCTAAACATGTATAGTTTTCGTTCTTCAATTCGGCAAATCATTCAATCCCCACACTTCATGTGGAACTGGCCAGAGGGATGATGGCTTGATCGGACGCAAGTTATTCGAGTTTTGAGGTGTCGGTGTCTAATGATGGACCATCTCATGTTCCATTCGGATTTCTTTCCCAAGGGCTCCAACTATACTTTCTCATAAGGTATAGTTTGACCACATTCGAAGCCCCCCATAAACCACCAACCAACCCCGAAGGTACCGACTCCGAGCTCGGAGAGCCCAGCAAGGTGGTGGTTTCACCGACCGCTGTGGGACCTCAGCTTCATCGCTTGGGGCGTCCTCTGAGCTTCCGAGCTCATTGGTGGGTGAAGGCACGTCTTTCCCAATCTGAGGTCAGACGCTAGCCGGACGGATCCTTCCACGGGGTAGCCGGACGGGCCGGGGTCAGTGATGGTGATGGGGCAAAATCAAGAAGCCGCTTTGGTCGTAACGTATGTTTCAAATGCTTTGTTCTACCATGGGAGTTTTTAGTGTCTCTATAATCTCCAATCTTTTCAAACACAACTGCATTTCGGAACAGTGACAGTTGCCAATATTTTTTGAAGTGGAGCCACTTGAAAGGATCTGGGACAAGAAGGAGAACACTACACACCCAACCACAACCATCCATGTTCTTCGGGAACGTCGACGAAAAAACGAACGTTCGCACGTTGCGAACGTGAACGCGTCCACCGAACAGAGATCCACGGAGTCCACCGAACCACGGAGTCCACCGAACCACGGAGCCCCCACCGAACCAGAGATCATCGATCCGAGCTCCCCCTTCAGCCACGACTTGGACCACCGCGATACACCGTCATGACCACCGTCGTTCTACAACCCGTCGTTGACGATCACATCGATACACCCTCGATACACATGAGGTTGCCTGTATAATCCACTGTGAAATCCGGAAGACCCCATGGGATCTCCCCTTTTTGCTTCGCTGCATCTTTTTTTCAATCTTCCGAAAGTCCATCTCAGTTGTTCCGTATGTGGATGAACTTTTTCCGGGATGGGCGGCAAAACTACACAGAAACTCTTTAAGACTTGGTGGTGTGGCAACGACCTTAGCTTCGCGAGCTAGCCATGGGAAAAGACATGCAAACATAATAATCCTCGTTTGGAGCAACATAAAACCTGTTCCCGATGGAAAAACATCTGCACCTGTTAGGATATCTGCAAGGCCCGGAAAAGAGTGAAGAAAGAACTTCTTCCGCAGTTCAAGGAGTTCTTCTTTCCACTTACCTTTCAGGGTGCGTTTAGAAAAAAACACAGCATGGACTCTTTTCGAACCACAAAATAGAAATCTGTACTTCTCAGATCCACCTGAGAGCCTGGCAAATGGGATGGCCAACTTACCTGGCGATCCAAGAACCGCTCGGAGCCGTGTGGATTTTCATCAACGAGATCCCCTGGCCAAATGAATTTTGGTCTGTGAAAACACACCGAAAAGAAACATGAAGTGAAGCTGAAAGAGTTGGATGAAGTTTGACACTGGCAGAAATGGATCATGCTTGGAGATCAGGAGCTCAAACCCAGAGAAGTTTGTTTTGAGACCACCTGAACTAGTGCTACATAATGCTACATGTGGGGTGGCTCACTCTCTCTCCAGGTCTTAAGGGTTCCTCTTCGGAAACACCTCACCCTTGCTCAACATGTACGTCCACGGCCGGTCGGCGAACCATCCGCATGCGTCCGCTTTCGCTCTCTCCAAACGAGACACTGGGCTCAGGTTCTTCGGAAACAAAAACAACTAACCTACTATCAAAGACATACAAATATATATATATAAATATATTTATTCGACAAACACTTCAATTATGATCGAAAAAAAGCACATATACATGAATCAACACCTTCAACACGATATCTATACTTAATAGACGAATCTACTTCTATGATGTTTCGAACCAACAACACATGTCGGACGACACGTGACTCGCCTCTTGAAAGTGGCATGTTGGGATCCGTCTCCAAGGCTCTCGAGAGGTCCTTCGCATCTCAGGCACGGCGCCAGGCGCGGCAGGGAAGTGACGTGAAAAGGAAGGGAACCGAAGCGACAAAGTGAAGAACCGATTTTCCAGAGACCTGGTTCCTCAAAGTGACCGTCACTTGATCCCCTGGTTGGTTCGGTCACTTCTTAGGCCTGGGAAAAGGTCACAAAAAGGTCGCGAACTGAAGAAGCTGGTACATGAGATCGACCTCACTCCACATGGCGAACGACCGCACAACACCGGGGCGAGGTCCCGGTGCGCTTTTCGCCGCGTTCTGCTCGTCGCTTCGGTTGCGGCTCCTCCGTGGTCATGATGCCGAAGGAGACGCGATCGATCTTTGCCAAGCAATGTGGCAGCAAGAGAGAGAGCCATGCCTGAGAGGTCCGAGGACCAAGGTGCTCCAAGGGAGCCTTGTCGGTCTTTTCGACTCCGGACTGCCAGTCCAGGGGTGCCAGGGGGGTTAATGGGGCGGCATAGATGGCATACATGGAGCGTCTGGGAAGGTGTTTGTTTTCTTTTTTTGAGAGGTTTGAGGTTGCATGTCTTATTTTTTTGTCTGAGGTGCTTCTGTTTTCTTTGGGGAGACCAAGGTGCTCGTTGAGTTTTTGTTGGAGGGGTCGGGTTCCTCTGAGGTGAGGGAGGAGGGCGGATGTGAGGTGAGTAGCACTCGGGTGAGTGGCTGAGGTGAGGTTTGGAAAACAAGGATGAACGTTACCCAAATGAACCTTTGAGATCCATTAAGCGGATGCAAATGATGGCCTACAGCCAACACATGTTGCTGCTTTGGGGTGCTGAATGTGGGTCATATGGCTGGTTCGTTTCCCACGGAAAATGATCGACGACTCTCAACCCACCAGGGTGACGCGGGCTCCAGGAGCCATGATCCACAGCCATCTTTGCACCACCCATGGATCATTGGATATCAGTGAACCGATCAGCGCACTGTCTTCGAATCTGGTCTCTTGCGAAGTGGAACCTACGTTGATGAGTCTCATCCAACTCGTTGACGAATCATGTCCCGAGATACCTAGATCTTCCAACTGTGCAACATGTATGCCTTTGAGGCGTAAATGATATAGTACTAGTTGGACAAAAACCAGGCATAATGGCTCTGAAACAAGATGGCCCAGGTTACCCTCATCGACCTAGAACATGCATACGCATGCCGCATGAATATATGGTTTACGTTGCTCTTTTTCTCATCTGCACCGGAACAACTTCTTCTCCGGTGTATCAACATGAGTGCAGGATGCCAGCTCCCCAATGCTGGCGAGGCCAAGCGACGTGTGCCAAATTCAGCATCTTCATTTCGACCTTGGCCCCCCCCCAGAGTTCCGTTCCAGGCGCGAAAAAAGACACGAGCGCGGTCTAGTCTACCAGTCTTACTGTACCCATGTTTTCTATCCAAAAACACAAGTCATTGAGTCATAACATAACATGTATATATACCCCCAAATAGATAGAAAAGATATGTAAAGATTATCCCCACGAATCATGCTATTGGACACCTCTCTATTTGGAGACCACATGTTCAGACCGCCATGTTCGGTTTACGAACTCACTCGGCTCCGGTACCAGGCACCCGAACCGCAGGGAGATCCTTGAAGGCCGCTTCCTGGCGCCCCGGTCGGTCGACTGGAGGCCCCTGGACTTCGGGTCGCTTCGAAGGACGCGAAAGACGCCGGACAGGTCGACTGACGCTCTGTAGGGTTTAGCTGAAACAGTCAGGTTTAGATGCGAAACTGAAACACCATGAAACACCTATACTAGCCTATAGTTGGATCTCAACAGCTGGTTGGAACTTAGTTTCAACTGTGCATAGAAACACCAGGTTTCTCAAATGCCCAGCTTAGAAACTGATTCATAGTTGGCGATTCCGTGTTTCGATGTGGCTCTTCCTCCCGGGGGTTTTCCTGGTCGTTCGATCATTTCAAGGACGACACTCTGATGGCGGCGGCTCTGGCGGCTGCATCTGAAAAATCACTTGAGTTGAGGATCCTGGCCCACAATCCTTCTACGGTCCAGAATGTGGAAAAGGTTCACAGAATGCCTTGCATCCACCCATCGATGAAACATGCCTTGCGTCTTCAGACCCTTATAGACCCTTGCAGTTCCATCCAACAGAGAATCTGTCCTGCTCTGCGGTGGCTGCTTCGTCTGATGCTCTCATCAAGTAGCCTCAAGTCGAAACAACCCTCACATACAAACAACGGTGTTCCAGCAAACAACAACAGGCCTGGCTTGTAAATCTGCATTCCGTGTTGTGTGCCCAACACCAAACCCAATTTTCTGATTGATCAGGCCATGATAGTGTATGTGTGTAAGGGAACATTAATATCAATGAAGTTGCGTCCGTACAACGTGGGTGCTAAGCCAACCAAAAAACACCCTGCATAAAACCAAACTACATTTGAACACCTCAAATTATCATTGCAGGGGCTTTATAAACTAAAACTGGTTGAACGACCCTGTTGGCAATGAACGATGCCCTTAGTCTTCGTGTGTGAACCCGGGATGTTTGTCAATGTTGACTGTTCTTTGGAGCATCTTGTCCGTTCACATCAATCCACAGAAGGACTTGGAAAATGCATGTCAACTCTCGGAGGGACCGGCCAAAAGAAGTGCCAGGTTGGTGAGGAGGTTTAAATTACTGTGTGAGGTCGACTGGTTCCTGTGAGCTGTGAGCATGGATGGCTGTGGTTTAAAACTTGTTGTTTGCGTGTGTTGAAGCGGCCTATAGGATGCAGCACACAACATGCCAGTGATCGAATTATTTGTTTTCATTGCCAAGAGATGCCAAGGACATTTCTACTTCCTGCTGGTCTGCTGGCACGTGTGCAGATATGAGCTTACTGCGTCATTGTTGATCACTGTTGTGTCAGTCATCACCCCTGCGCGTGGGCCACAACCACCCCAACCTGGAGTCAGAAATCCAACCAAGTGAAGAGGAACAACATTAGCTGGTGAAGGGTTCCCCGCAGGCATCTCGCAGAAAAACACAAAAAGTGAGACGTAGTTCGACACCTCAGAAGTCCCGGGTCAAGTCCCACAGACGGTTGCTGACGTTCAAGTTTAGTATTTTTGACCAGCCGTGCAAGCCCCAACTCTGTGCCCCGCGCGGAGATGCCGCTAGAAATTCATCCAAGCAGCTGCTCACAGTGGCAGTCCGCAGCTTTTGCGACAGATTGCCTGGCCGCCAAGCTCGGACCAGGCGATTTAACCCATGAAAAACTGCCGCCCTGTACATCCATCTACCACTGCCTCTGTCTGCAGGTGCGCGGACACGCGAAAAGCTAGACTTGCGGACGGCACGAATCCCGCATGGAGGGGTCAAGCTGCTCAAGCATACGCCTGCGTCAGCGTCGCGGACGTGACTCTCTACAGGTAGCTTCATCAGAGGAATCTCCAGTAGTGGTCTGCTCATGTCATGTAATCTCTCACGTTGCATACTTAGGTTGCTGCACTGTGACTGTAACATCAGTCTTGGCTTGAAAAATGGCATGGCCCCATCTGTGAAGACGGGAAGCTCTATGGCCCTGTGCTGTTATTCAATCAAGAAAAATATACCCTCTCCACCTGTTCCACCCTGACAAGGTCGTTTCACTGTCGAACGGAAGCAGCGCATAGGGGCGCCCGGCCCTCTCTGTCCAGAAGCGCGATCGCCCGACATTTCTTGGTGATGTGGAGATCTCTGACACGACCTGTTTGTTTAAACCGATGTCGCAGTTTGAACGCGAAACCGGAGAGGTCGACGAGCTGAGCCGACCTTTCCAGGATCATTCAGCGTTTGCGGCTTCAAGGAGTGATGTTCAGCTTTGAAGGAGTGATGATGCCTTGACAAAGCTCCTGGGGTATAACAAGCAAAGATCATGAATGAGCCCTCGCTTTTGGTTGTTCCTTGGAGAATCTGTCCAACAGTTCAATCCTACAGAGTGATGTCTATGTCTATGTCGCTGATGTTTGGTCCACCAGTCGACCTGTGGATGGGTACAAGCATAGTCTTCGGGATTTGCAGTGATCTATTTCTATCTATTTCTGTAGGCACACGAAAAAAATGTTGACACAAATGCAACATGTGACCAGGGGAACACGAACAACCATAGGGTGAGTCTGCTGGAAAACCCTCTCCTCTCACTTGTTTCCGGGGCGGCCGGGAACCGGATGCGTGTGACGACCTTAGGGCGAGGACGCGTTAGTCGATGCATGGCAGGATCCTTCGCTTTGGCGGTGAATCCGGTCTACGAACCCGAACCCTGTGACGGTCTGGTCCGACTTTGGAAACGGGATGGGGCGTAGTCTGAACGAACAAAGCCGGTCCCCCAATATGAGATCCAGTCCGTATGCTGCAGAAGGCCCTGGCCATAAAACACGTCAACGTCTATCAATTAAGGCTGATCTTTCTCATTGGCCATGCAAACCCACTACTCGGCTTGTGAAGCAAGAATTTCAAGGCTTCCTAAAACCACTTGAAAACCAGGCTGGTTCAAGCTGTTCAGACCAACCCACAGAATACCAACCAGGACTCTGTCGGGGTCCCCTTGTTTGCACTATACTACACCACTGACCTACTTCCATTAGGCTTGGATGCTTTTTCAGAAGCTTAAGCCTGCAGAACCTTGGCTTCTTGCTGAAGCCGTCCGACTTTCAGCCTTTTCTGTGTGAAAACGGGAACGGCGACGCCATGGGATGCGAGAGAAACTCCTTCGGACCCGATGCGCCACACTCGACCGCGGTCTTACCACCGGATCGCCACTGGATCGCCACCGGTGGATCGGTGGATGGGCTCAAGGACGGTCAAACTGACAACCGGATTGCTTCGACCCCCCCCCTCCAGGATTCGGGTCCGACCCCTTCGGGGCACGGGTCGCGTCTGGCAATCAAAGATCTGAACCGGAATTCGAATTAAACTTTACTGACCAGGACCTTCCAAGAGGTGTCTATACATAGCCTCTTAGTGGACCCTCCAAGGACCCTCCGTTTTCGGGGTGCCCTGTCTGGAAGCCTTTTTCGGCCGGATCCGTGTGTGCTAGTCCAGCCAGGACACCCAGGTCCAGGAGGGTCCAGGTGGGTTAACAGGTGGGTGTGGCAGATCGCGTCGAAGCCACTCCAACTCAGGCGACCAGACCCACCCGACCCAGCACGGAGAAGCACCGTTCTGCCGGACGTGCAGCGTGGCAAGCACGGTCTTCGAAGTCGAATAGACCGACGAGCGTCGAAGGCGTCGAACCTGGAGCTGGTTTGTGTGTGTTCGGAACAAGAAAGAAACACACAAGAATTGACCAAACACATCCCAGAGCAAGTGCAAACTGGA